ATGTCCTTTATGTCCCTTTACACATTTTTACTACATCTAGATATTATTTTTCATTATTTATTACTGATATATTATTATTTATTGTCGAAGGTACGATCAAAATCTCTTATAGGAACTAAACAATGAGTTATAAATTCTAACTACTAAATATATACTTACTTACAGTTTTCAGTCTTGTTCAATGTGACTTTTGGATACACTCTATCAGAAGCGGCGTGAACTGGGGAGGGGAAGGATACCTCTCCTGCTTTGAGAATTTTGACTTAGATTTTCTCTAAATGTAGAGATTAATTAGGGATCATTCAGGATTAGAAAGTTTTTGGTGTTTGTGTACTCGTTTTTCTAGATGTGGTTGACTTTTCATGGCGTAGGAAAATCCTCGTAAAGCTATACTGCCTCTTGATTCCGATTAGGGCTTTCCATGAAACATAGAAGATCTCCAAAGCTAGCTCTCTCCCTCTGCTTTGTTATTACTTTAAGAAAAGGAAAGTTCTTTGTCTGTATTGGATGTCCCCTCTGCTATGACTTAGTCGCACTATTCCTGCATCCTATATATTATTTTTTTTAAAATATAGAGTCAGATCCTGTAATTCTGTAGGAAACGATTTTTGCTTCACAATGATTGGCCGATAAATAAGTCCATCTATATGCATACGATTACAGACTAATAAGGTTTTGCTTTACACAACACATCGGAACATGAGAGGGACCTTTTTTTTTACTTTGTTTTCTGTATTCCTAAATATGCCACTGTTTCAACTGACAATTCTTTGGTTTCAATGTCAAATGGAATATTCTTCGAAATAGAGCAAGATTTTATGAATAATACTTGGCTTTGTTTTGAGTAGAGTCCGTCGTAATCAAAGAGAAATAAATGTGGAAACCTCGGATTTAAATCCGAGAGTTATGTGTACTTCAAAAAGTGAATTAGACAGATGAGTCATCCTAAAATGTGTGGACATCAAAATCATCCTGGCAAACTTTTTCTATAAACACTTGAGTTCTATTGATCCCTGCTCAACCAATGGCATTTCGAGGCAAGTGGAGTACAGACCCGAGTTCTCCGTCCCAGAAAACCTCGAAGTACCATCTCTGTGATCGAAAGATAGAGCTCTAATTGTAGATAAATCAGAGCGTGGGCAAAAACAGAACCAATTTCCGTTTAATTATCTTTGCATTAGGTGGACTAGCCTTCTTATTTCTTTATGTTTTATATACCATTTTGTAGCTCGTGAAATTCTCTGTCGAATAGTATATAATAGCTGTGGATTTATTTGACTATGATAGGAAAAGTTATTCACGAAAGCGGGAAGAAGTCGATTTTCCTATAGGAAGCCATAGGGAAAAATGACTATTTTTGCAATACCTCAGGAACGGCTCAGTCAATCATGCTCATCTTCGAACTCGACCGAGATATTGTTAAGACTGAATTATGTAGAAAATTTCATGGCGATCGGACTCTCCTTTCAAAAGTTATCGTGTAAACGGACGGCCGAAAACACTGACCGATTCTAGAGTGTACTCACTTTTTGAGTACACAAAAAGAAGATTGTCCAATAAAGATATTTAGGTTGAATATGACAAAAATACTTTTGGATTTGATCTATTGTATTCAGAATTTTCTATTCTACAAAATGATTAATAAAGCTTGAACATAGAAACATCTGCGCGAGAAAAAATAATGATATATTTGTCGTACTAGAGCTAGTAATGGCAAATGTATTATTATTTTTTCTCGTGTAGATATTTCTATGCTCAAGTTTTACTAATCGTTTTATAGAATAGAAAATTCTGAATACAATAGATCAAATCCAAAAGTATTTTTGTTATATTCAACCTAAATATTATCATTCGACAATCTATTTTTCTCTTTGCTTACAACAGACTCTACTCATAACAAAGCCAAGTATTATTCATAAAATCCTGCTCTACTCTGAAGAATATTCCATTTCACATCGAAACTCAAGAATTATCAGTTGTGAATAATATCAGTGACATATATAAGAACACTGAGAAAGTAAAATAAAAAACGGATGCCCTCATATTCCGATATATTCTGTAAAACAAAATCTAATTAGTTTGTAATCGTATGCATATAGATCGACCTATTACTGTAGAGCAAAATTTTTTCCACAGAATTTTACAAGGCCTGACTCAATATACAAAATTAATCTTTTCTCGGTCTTCTGTTCCATAGAAAATTCTACATGAAAATGTAAAAGATTCTTTCGATAAAATTAAATTTTTTTTTTTGTTAAAATAAATTAATATTTACCGTAATTGCGATCATTCGTGCAAGAGTCTTCTAAATGATGAAGCACTTCAAAAGTATCAATATCAAATGTGAAGTTGAATTCATGCAATTGATATTGAATAAGTAAAGATAAAGTATTAATTAATATATCTGATAGATGACATCGACGAAGAGTAAATGATTTTAAATTAACAAAATGAATAAATTTATTATCTTGAAAAATCCATTGAGATATTAAATTTAAAAAAATTGATTTTGATCCATCAATATGAATTCGTTTTATAGAAGTAGAAAGAAATGAATCAGAAATAATTGTCGACATTATTGACTGAAATTTATTTATAGATAAACCTATTTCATTTATTTGAATTTCATTATAATTTATTGAAAATGTTGAATAAATGAGCGAATTAAATCTTTTATTTAATGACCAAAATGATTCAATTATTTCAAACGATGTTAATTTTGATAATATAATAAGAAGAATTTCATTTGATAGATTTTCCAATCTGTTTAACATTTTATGTAAACAAATAAATTATCGGATAAATATCTAAATATAACTGATATCTACTGAAAAATACTTTTGAAACAAACTTATTAAAAAGTAAGTTATTAAATTTTTAATATTGAAAATACATTGAAAAGAAAATCTCAGCAAAGCAAATCTCTCTCTTTTCTCAACATATCAATTAAATATAAAAAAGATTAGTCAAATAAAAATTTATTTTCATTTTGATCGTTTTCAAGTACGATAGACGACATTGTTTGTATATTATTAAACTGTATAGAAATGTCCATTTATACACTTGGTCAAAAAGTATTCAACTACCCCACTTTCGTCTCATACAAAGACTTTATTTAAAAAGGAGGGATTGTTGTGAAATTTATGTGTAATAGAGAACTTTGTATGCTCTATCCAGTGATGATATTTTGATTAAAAAAAGCAGCATGTTTTGAGATTGAAAGTGAATTATTTTAAGAACCAACGAAAATTTTTCGAAAAAAGTCGAAGACTGACAAATTCAGTGCTTCACTTTAATTAAAAAGTCACATATGTAGTTTTGTAGAACATCTCACGGCGCGTCGAATAGTATATAGAAAAAAAGATTTTCATCAAGTTCTGATGCATTTAGAATCTATATATTTCTTAGAGACACGCAGCAAGTGAAAAATATTTCGAATATCCTTATCAATTTTTAATATTTGTTTCGCTTCCTGCATAAGAGTACGCAATGCAAAATTCTGTGTTAACTGGAGAATTACTGACCGTGATCGAATTAAGAGTCCGGGATCGAGAACCTTTTGTAGAGCTATTTATAACTTTTTCGATATGAGAAATAGACTTTCCTCAATCCTAACCCAGCTGTACATTTCAAACAGTGTATGGATTCTAAATGCATCAAGATTTGATGAAAATCTTTTTTTCTATATACCATTTGACGCGCTGTGAGATACCCTACAAATCTACATATTCGACTTTTTAATTAAAG